TGCAAATAAATCACTGTAGGTGCGCGTGATCCATGTATATGCTGATAACCAGTCCACATAGGAAACAAGAAAACACTAGCCGTAACTAACGTAAATAATGGCAGTCGTATGAATTTTAAGTAACATAAATAGTCTTCAGAAAAGATTAGCGGATTACCTGATGATTAACCCCAGCTTATTTCACTTTAAGATTAACCCTCGGCTATTTCACATGAAGAGGGTAGAGGTGGTTCAGGGTGGAGGTGGTTCAGGGTGGAGGTGGTTCAGGGTGGAGGTGGATGGGTGGAGGCGATGGAGGGGTGGAGGCAGCGGGACTGTGGGAGCGGAACTGACGACCGGAACCAACAGGTAGTAATGATCAAGCTTCCGTGTGTACTGAAATTTTACTTCGCAGGACAAAATTGCCGGTCGAGGCTGACGGTGAAAGCTGACGTCCTGCTACTGTCAGACACACGCATACGCACACGCGCGCACACACACACGGTAAACCTTATCACAGCACCATCATCACCACACTTTATTTACAACAGCATCACCACCACCACACCATATATACAAAAATACCACCATCACCACACACTATATATATATATATATATATATATATATATATATATATATATATATATATATATATATATATATATATATATATATATATATATGACTACACCACCATCACCACACCATGACTACACCACCACCACACCATATATATGACTACACCACCACCATATATATCAACAGCACCATCATCACCACACCATATATATAACACCACCATCATCACCACACCATATATATAACACCACCATCATCACCATATATATAACACCACAGCCATCACCACACCACACACGTAACTGCACCATCAACAGCACCATACACTCCTTAACCACTATACCTCGACCTGTTTCCGCCTTTTAGGGACTTTTCTTGACGTTCCAGAAATAGTAATTGGCATCCCACGTGAGGACAGTTGCCAGATGACATATTAAGAGGCGTAGATTTCTGTGGCTTTACGATGAGGAAATGAATAGATTAAACCTGAATGAGAAGGTGAATAGCCTCTGGATGTGAATAATGTAAATAAACTTGTAAGTGATGGAATATGTATTAGTTCGGATAGAGTTAGGTAAGAGTTAAGAATGTCAGATTTGAAAAGAGATAAGTAAAAATAATACAATGAAAAAACAAGATAAATTAATTAGTAAAAAGTGATATAGAATATATTGGATGAGTAAATAATATACAATTGATAAATAAGTTCTAAAATATAATTTAGTGAAAACAAGAAAATATGAAACTAATAAAAGAAAGAATAAAATAAGAATACATTGAAAATTAGACTAAATTAATTATAGCTATATAAGGAAATAAATTTAATAATAATGCACGCTGGAATATTGCAAACGTAGGCTAGAATATTGCAAGTGTAGTGTGGATTGTTGTAAAAGCCGCATGAAATATTGCATATGCTGTCTGACATGTTGCAAAATTGGTCTGAAATGTTGCATAACAGTCGGTTATATTGCAAAATTAGTCTGAAATATTGTATATACAGTTGAAACATTGTGCTGGTTGACTCAGTATATTCTTTTGATTGACAAAATATCTATAAAATCTGGTATATTTTTCTTAACGAATATTATATGGAATTTTAGGGATAAAACTAATAATAAATACTTTATTAGTAATACTGTATCTGGAATGTGTCCGACACTGTACCCTGTTGCTGTACCCTCACACTGCACCCTGTTGCTGTACCCTCACACTGTATCCTGTTGCTGTACCCTCACACTGTACCCCGTTGCTGTACCCTCACACTGTACCCTGTTGCTGTACCATCACGCTGTACCCTCACACTGTATCCTGTTGCTGTACACTCACACTGTACCCTGTTGCTGTACCCTCACGCTGTACCCTGTTGCTGTACCCTCACACTGTACTCCGTTGCTGTACCCTCACACTGTACTCCGTTGTTGTACCCTCACACTGTATCCTGTTGCTGTACCCTCACACTGTATCCTGTTGCTGTACACTCACACTGTACCCTGTTGCTGTTCCCTCACACTGTACCCTGTTGCTGTACCCTCACACTGTATCCTGTTGCTGTACACTCACACTGTACCCTGTTGCTGTACCCTCACGCTGTACCCTGTTGCTGTACCCTCACACTGTACTCCGTTGCTGTACCCTCACACTGTACTCCGTTGTTGTACCCTCACACTGTATCCTGTTGCTGTACCCTCACACTGTATCCTGTTGCTGTACACTCACACTGTACCCTCACACTGTACCCTCACACTGAACCCTGTTGCTGTATCCCTCACACTGTACTCTGTTGTTGTACCATCACTGTTGGTGAGAGAGAGAGAGAGAGAGAGAGAGAGAGAGAGAGAGAGAGAGTATATTTAGTAAAATTGTCATACAGAGTGTACTGTATATAGATACTGCAGGTATATAATGTAAACACACCCACACACACACACAAAACGATATCATCTAAACAGTGCAGGAGTAGGAGAGAAAGTTGAGAGAGCATGAAGTGGTAGGGATAGTGTGAAAGTAGGGGAGAGTGTGGGAGTGGGAGGCACACTAACTACCGCACAACAACTACCGGGGTCTAATTTAGGCTCCACGTTGAGGTGGTGTGGCTGGCTGAAGGTTGGCTGGGTAGGGTAGGGTAGGGGTAGGGGAGGGTAGGGGTGGGGGGGGTAGGGGGGGAGAAGTTAGGTTAGAGTGGAATGAGTGAGGGGAGGAAGAGGAGGAGTGAGGGGCTTGGAGAAGTGGGGGGAGGGGGAGAAATGAAGGGGGGATTAGAGGGGAACGGGATGAGGGGACCTGGGGAGGAATGGGAGGGAGAGGAAGGTGGAGATGGGGAAAAAGGCAATTGGGACGAAGGAAGGGAAGTTGGGGAGGAAGCAAAAGAGACGGTGTAAGAAGAGGGGTAGAGAGGAGGTGGGGAGGAGACGAAGAGGAACAGGTATCTGAAGTGGGGAGGAAAAGGGAAGTGAAGGATGAAACGGAGGAGGGAGGGAAGGGAGAGGAATTGGAAGCTAAGAGTTATGGGAGGGGATGAGAGGTGAGGGGGAGTGGAGGAAGAGAGGCGGCGAAGGGAGGAGGATAAGACGAGGTGGGGAGGAGGAAGGTGAGGTGGGGAGGAGGCAGACGAGGTGGGGAGGAGGAAGGTGAGGTGGGGGAGACGGTAGTAGTTTGGCTTGTCGAGGTTCATGTTATTATTTATTCATATATCTCATTATCATCGGCTTACCTGTGTCCTGATATTATCTTGATTACCGCATGTTATATTCAGCCATTTACTTTAACCACTTCAGGTATACACAAACTGTACTATGTCAGGTGTACAAAAACGTAACTATGTCAGGTGTACAAAAACGTAACTATGTCGGTTTTACACATGGGTAACTGTCAGGTGTACATAAACGTAACTATGTCAGCTGTACACACAGTAAATGAAATGGTCAGGTGTACACAAACGTAACTACGAGTACGTCAGATGTACACATAACATAAATATGTCAGGTGTACACACTATGCCAGTTGTATACAAAGTGAATATTTGAATTCAAGGGTCATCTAGTATAGTTGTGTTGTGAGATAATCTGTACTCTGTATCCCGGAGTTTCATGATCAGAATTGTTGCAATGAAATCTTCAATGTGTGTTGCTTCATCAGTAACTTCTTGGTTTTTATTATTATTATTATTATTATTATTATTATTATTATTATTATTATTATTATTATTATTGTTGTTGTTTTATTACTTTATTTGTTGTTGTATTTCTGCCAAATGCATATGCGTGTTTTTGTAGATGAAAAATAGTACACACACACACACACACACACACACACACACACACACATGGAACTCCTTAAATACATCCGTAAAATATTATCGGTATTTTGACTGGAGTACCTCTACTGTATTACCAGGAGTGACACACCTCTGCCTCCCGCACGTACACTTGTCTGCTTACTGCTGTATAACATGATTTTTACACGAGACACCCGGGACGAGATGTACTGTACGTTCATAAAATTATAACTCAGTGTTCATTATCGTGCTTTATTATTATTATTTTTTATTTTAGATAATAGAAACTCAAGATAAGGTAAAATTGGTTATTTTGACGAGTACGATATTGAGGCGAGTGAGTGTGTAATCTTCACTCCCGGATGTTTGCGTTCGGGTGGACTCACAGATGCTCATATGAATTCGTATCCGCCTTGGTTCTACTTTCATTTTTGTTTTCCTTCTGTGTAGTAGGTTACCTTTAGATAAACATTTTAAGTGTATATGTGAGTTATGATAATGTAGAGACGGGCTGAGAGATTCGTCCATACCCCGAGGTTAGAAAGTGACTGTAGAACTCGCGACGATAAGCTGACCGCGATGAGGGTGCAGCTTACTACTGGCGGGTTTGTTGCGGCCGCTGTGGCTCTGGGAGACGTTTCGCCATTCTCGCTTTTTCTTTCTTTCTCTCAATTATTCTACTTTCATGAAACGTTATTTAGTGTTTCAGAGTTACGGCGGAATGTAGCAATTGAGGTTTATGACTATATTTTAGCAAGAGGAAGAGAGAAACTTCCTTTGAGACAACCGGATTCATAAAGACTATCAAGCAAGATTTCTCCTGTAATGACCGCCATCTCCACTAGTCTACTTCCGCTCACTTCAAGTCACTTGCTGCCGCATTCACAACAAACAGAAATATCCTTTTATATTCCATCTAGATCTCTAGAGTAAATACAACAGTTCTGTAGTATGTACTAATTAATCCGTAGTTTGTGTGTTAATGTGAGCATTAAAGAGTCAGCGTGAGGCTGAATAGAATAAACTTAGTGGTTGTATGGGAATGTAGGAAAGTTAAAATTACCACAAGCAGACAACCATTATTTTATAAACACCACAATGCTTCCCTTTGGCCAGAAACGGCATGTTTTTTTTTAATATTTCAAACGAGAGAGAGAGAGAGAGAGAGAGAGAGAGAGAGAGAGAGAGAGAGAGAGTATCATGCTGGAGGATCACTATTAAAGTTGAACACTACCTTCAGAGAGCGAGAGTTTCTGACAGGTAGATCACTTATTAAAGTTGAGCACTGCCTTTGAGCCTCTTTGGATGAGATATGGACTATCTGATGCTGTCACTCATTCACCTTAAAAAGGTCAGAACCCGAATTCTGCGAGGTTCGTTTAGCGGTTGGGTAGTTAATTCTCAGGTGAAATAAGCTGGGGTGTCTAATCTTACACCCAACTAGCTGACATGAGAGAAAGCGCAAGACGAACGTCCAAAAATTACATCAGAACATAACCCTTGAGACACAACCTTAACTAGATATGTTTATTTAACACAAGTTAGATGATAAAAACACAAGCGTACCGTATCTTTGTGAATCCGGACTCCTAGCGCTTTCGTGGATTCGGATTCGGTAAGGTGCTGGATTTACGTTGTCAGGGGGTTCATTCAGTGTAATTGAAATGTCATTATCATTAATATTATTATTTTGTTTGGTTTAACTCAAGTCTGCCGGTAAATACAGTTCGTTACGTCACCAGGTACGAGGAAAAGTCAACGTATACACCTTTATTAAGAAACTTGAACCAGATTGAAGTCATTGTTGTGTTATATCGGATGTTTAATGTATTGTACAGTTCTGGCCAAAATTCCCTTGACGCGTATTTTGATGTAGCTACAGTTGAAGCTAAATTTTCCTTGACCTTAGACTGAAACACTTCGTCAACAGTGATAAATAATAATCACACCTGCACCCATCCACCCTCCCCTCCCCTTTCTCTCCCTCCCCTACCCCATGAACTACTTGGCACCTCTTCTTGTATAGCATTTATCTATTATGTGGCACCTCGATGACTCCGTGTTCGAGGAGTTCTTTGTTTTATTGGCTGCTTTGGTTGGGTTAGGTTTAGATTTCTCGAGAATCCTTCAGTTCTTGGCCATAGCGAAAGACAATTTGAGGAAATTTGTCCGTACGATTACCCTCGGCCTAATCTCTCTCTCTCTCTCTCTCTCTCTCTCTCTCTCTCTCTCTCTCTCTCTCTCTCTCTAATACAGTATGTCTTTAATAATTTATCGGCGTCCGTCCAATCCGACTCGCCGTATATATAACATCAAGTGGCCGGTATTAACATACAGTACATCGTCTCAGGGAATGCGAATCGGGTTAATACATTGATTCTCTTGGACTCACGATCCTTGGTAGAAATTATAGCACTGCAGGACTCATATTCTCAGATATTTGTACTTTTCGTAAACAAACTGAGAATGAATAAAAAAAAACCCGCATCACATTAACTTATCGACTTAGCTCCGCCGTCTTTTGGTTTCCTTAGCAACAGTGACAAATATTTGAACCTCATTGGTTGTTGCTTTGTGACTCACAACACCGCAATGACAAATAAACTTTAAATTCTTTGCTTTGATTTTTACACTAAAATTTTCTTTCAGTTTAATGTTTTACTGTTTTTAATTTAAAGGATTTTTGCAGGTGAGATTTCTCATAGGAAGACAATATAATATATTCACATTAATCATTAAGAAAAAGAAAACAATGGTCGCGTATGTGGTGTCGTGATACAATTGACAAATTGTTTGGTGGGTGAGTCTTGGTGGAAGTGAGTCATGGTACACATAGAGACTGTGAAGGGGAGTCAATTATCAAGAGGTGACAACTCGGCCTAAGCAGTGTAAGAAAAAAATGTTTCATGTAGTGAGAGGCACCAGCAGCTGAGGGAGTGAGGGGGAGGGAAGGAAGGAGGGGCTTGTGCCAGGGTAGGTTGGGGGGACGGGCCATCGGCAGTGCCACGTGCTATTTTGAACTGGTGGAGTTTGGGTGCCTAGCGTGCCAGACCCGACAGTGGCCCTCCGACCACGGCCGCGTCGCCCTGCTGCACTCTGGGTCTCCTCGCTCCTGACCCAGCGTGTCCTCGCCTCCAAGGGTCAAGGTCACCTCCTGACCCCGTGTAGTAACAGTGATATCAGTGTACGAGTGTGTGGACCCGCTTGGGTCAGTGCCAACAGTGGCGAAGGAGCCCCACGTGAGGCAGTGTTGAGTGAAGTTGTTGAGTGAAGGTAATACCATGAGTCGGGTGAAGGCTTGGCTGGGCTCTCTGACAGCCCAGCTCCCCGAGTGGTTCACTGCCAGGATACCAGAGTGGCAGATGCCCAACCTGCAGGAGTGGAACATACCACGTCCCAACCTTCCTGAGTGGAATATACCCCGGCCTAACATGACTGGCTGGAATATACCTAGGCCTAATATGCCGGAGTGGAGTATCCCTAACTTTTCAGAGTGGAGTATACCCCGCCCTAATCTGCCAGAGAACTTGCGCCGTCTGACTAATAGACAAGAACCCTTGCTGCCGCCATGGATATACCCTTCATATTGGCGGGAGCGGGCGAGGGACGTAGTGTTATGGGTATGGATGCTATTCATAACCTTTTTGGCTGTGCGGGAGAACAACCAGGAGCCAGAGCCACAGTTCCAAGATGAAGTTGTTGGCGGTCAAGAAGAGTACGAAGATGCTGCTGAGGAGGAGGATTCACAACGCCATAAATACGGGACGGCGATTGAGGCGGAAGAGGAAGAAGAGGATGATGAGGGGTGGAGAGGGGGGCTTGGAGAGAGGGGTGGGCTGACGCGTTACCCGGGCATCGAGAACTTGTTGGCACAGCCACCCACGGCCACTCTACCACCACCACCACGCCCTCGCCCGCCCCCCACAGCTGTTTCTGAAATCGTAAACAAACAAGACCTTGTCAAACCCGAGAGAAAGGAAGAAGAGAAGGAAACCTTGGCTGAAGAAGAGCACAGTAAAGGTGAGGTCGAGGAAGGTGGTGAGAAGGACGTCTTATGGAAGTCACTCTTGGCGAGATACGCAATTGACGAGACTCCGCGTGACACTGACCAGAACGATCAGAGTGTCGAAGAAGAAGCTCCTGAGTTTGTGGGCACCGCGGAGGAGATTGTTGAGAAATATGCCTCCAAGTTCGAGTCTGAGGAAGTTCCCAAAGAGGATGAGGACAGCCAACAGGAAGTGTCCGCTGAGGAGTTCACTGCCAAGGTCGGGAAGCGTCTTGAGGAGTACCTGGCCCGCATGGAGGAGGACGAGGAAGAGTCAGCATATAAGGTCAGTCAAACCACGGACGCAACAGATGTTAAGGAAGACACAGAGGAAGAAGATACGGGAAGACAGATCACAGAATTTGAGGATGACAGCCTGGAAGGCAGAGATATTGAGACGGAGGTCGAAGAATTTCCTAGAGATATCGACACTGAATATAATAATGAAAACCGAATCTTTATTCTCATTGACGATGAGGAAAGTGAGGATGATCGTCGCGCAGCTAATGACGTCTCAGAAGGATCAGAGCTGGAACAGGTAGAGTCCTCAGACACAGGCGCAAAGTCCAGTGACCACCCTGAAGACCTGATAGAAACAGAGGAGGAAGCTCCTCAAGTAGATTCTGAACTAGAAGATAAACTTGCCGAGGGAGATGAAGAGCTCGGTGGTGAGATGATGACTGATGACGCCGTTGCTGTCAGTGAAGAAGACACAGACAGAGCTGTTGCAAAAGATCCAGAAAAAACAGCCCATCAAAAGGAAAGTATAAAGGAAGTCAAGGCCATCCATATGGACGTAGAAGAGCCATTTGTAGCAGAAGCTGCAGCGGTTATTGAGGTAGCATTAGAACCACAGGAACAGTTAGAAGAAAAGGTGAAGAACAGAACAGCTGAAGATCACACAGAAGAGAGTGGCAGAGCTGAGGTTGTTAAGTTAAGGAAGGACGAATCACAAGAAAGTACAGAGGCTCGACGTCTTGGTGTGACAGTGAGGTTCAGCGGCGTCATTGTGGAGCCTGAAGAGACGGAGGAGGAGTGTAGTGTGGATAGTGGGGAGGAAGACGAAGGGGAGGACGTTGTAGCGGGAGAGACAACAGCTTTAGTGTCCGAAGAGCAAAAAACGTCTGTAGAAGAAGTAATGCTTGAGGAACAGGGACCACCCTCAGATACTGTAGCCAAGGAGGTCGAGCCTGAAGAAGAGTCATCACCAGAAGAAAAGGAGCCAGAAAAACAAGAGGTATCATTGGAAGAGGAGGTGAAGGTGGAGACAGAGCAGGTGACAATGAAGCACAAGGATGGAGAGGAAACCGAGGAAGTAGACATGGAGGAGGAGGAGGAGGAGGAAGGGGAGGAGGAGAAAGCTACTGGGGTTGAGGAGAGTCAGGACCTAGATGTTACCAAGCAGACAGTCAAATCGATTAGTGAAGAATCCGAGTTGGTGGTGGCTGCTGCAACCACTGATGAAGGAGTTTCCACAGACCACGTCATGACAAAGGAACCCGAAAAAGAAATGGGTCCTGAGGGTGTCCAGTTAGATGTAGAAGGGGAAGAAGAGGAGGAGGAGGAAGAAGAGGGGGAGGAGGAAGAAGAGGGGGAGGAAGAAGAGGTGGAAGAAGAAGAGGAGGAGGAGGAGGAAGAAGAGGAGGAGGAGGAGGAAGAAGAAGAGGTGGTGGTGTTACATGAGGATACCACAGCCCAAATTACAGACATTGAGACGCAAGAGAAAGGTGAATCTGAAGGGGAGGACATCCTTGGACAGCAGGTAGACTCTGAGGACTCCAAAGTGGTCCCAGAGGAAGTGAAACAAGAGAAGGTAGATGTAGAGAAAGTGAGAGAAGTGAAGCAAGAGGTGGTAGAAGTGAGAGAAGTGAAGGAAGAGAGAGAAGTGAAGCATGAGGTGGTAGAAGTGAGAGAAGTGAAGCAAGAGGAGATTGAAGTAGATGAAGTGAGAAAAGCGAAGGAACAGGAGATAAAAGTAGAGACAGAGATAGAAGTGAAGCAAGAGGAGATTGAAGTAGATGAAGTGAGAAAAGTGAAGGAAGAGGAGATAAAAGTAGAGACAGAGATAGAAGTGAAGCAAGAGGAGATAAAAGTTGAAGAAGAGAAAGAAGTGATAGAAGAGGAGATAGACGTAGAGGAAGAGCGAGAAGTGAAAGAAGATGAGATAGAAGTTGAAGAAGAAAGAGAGATGAAGCAAGAGGAGATAGATGTAGAGGAAGGGAGAGAGATGAAGCAAGAGGAGATAGATGTAGAGGAAGGGAGAGAGATGAAGCAAGAGGAGATAGATGTAGAGGAAGGGAGAGAGGTGAAGCAAGAGGAGATAGATGTAGAGGAAGGGAGAGAGGTGAAGCAGGAGGAGATAGATGTAGAGGAAGGGAGAGAGATGAAGCAAGAGGAGATAGATGTAGAGGAAGGGAGAGAGATGAAGCAAGAGGAGATAGATGTAGAGGAAGGGAGAGAGGTGAAGCAGGAGGAGATAGATGATCAGGCAATGGCAGAAGAGGAACTGCCCGAATTTACTGAAGTACTGAGAGAGGAAAAGATGGAAGAGGAGGAGGTTGGTGAGGACAAAGAACTTGAGGTTACAGAAGCACTGGTTGACGAGGACCTTCCCTTGGCTACTCCTTCAACAGAAATGATGGAAGAGGATGTTGAAGAGGTGATGGAGGTGGATGTTGAGGACAATGTTAGCGAGACAATGGAAGAGGCACTAGAGATCGAGTTGTCTGACGTAGAGGATATGCATGAGGTACCTGAGAGCCCCGTCTTGCCCCTTGTAGATGACTTTGAGGATTATTTGGCTGAAGTTGAGGACCTGCTGGTGAAGCCTCCGAGACGCAAAGACCCCCTAAAGACCTTCTTAGACGAGCCAGATTTGGCGGCGGAGGGTGAAGCGATGGCTGAAGGTGGAGTGAATCCGCTTTTGGCGAAATACATGTCAATGCCCACAACTCTGACTCGCGAAGAGGAAGAAGAACTGAAAACTTACTTGGCTGAAAGTGAGGATGCAAAGGAACTTGAATTAGGAAAGTTTTTGTCATTGCCGGCAACACTGACGGAGCAGGAACAGAGGGAATTGGATGAGGCTGTGCAGGAGCACGAGTTAGTGCGGGGCGTTGAGCGTCGTGACCTTGGGAGGTTCTTGAACATGCCAGCAGGCTTGACGGAGCAGGAGCAGCGTGAACTTCAAGAACTGGAGCAGCAGGAGGAGGAGGAAGTTGAACGCCCATGGGAAAATAAGGAGGCTAGTTTTGACGACTATCTGTCCATGCCTCACGCCCTCACGGAAGAAGAAGAAAGATTACTAAAAGAAGGTGAGGAGGAAGAGTTGGAATTTGAAAACGAGGAGGAATATCGTGAGTACATCAAGAATAAGTTCCTTCGCGACCTTGAAGACGATGCTTATCGTATGGCAGAAGAGGACGACGAATACGACTACGAAGATTATGATGACGAGTACGAATACGAAGACGACTATGAAGATGAGGATGAGGGTGAAATGGAGGGGGAATATGTCATGGTAACTGACGATGTTCAGGAAATGGGTGAAGCTCAGGCCACAGGCGGGGTCCCAGGGGCCACAGGCGGGGTCCCAGGGGCCACAGGCGGGGTCCCAGGGGCCACAGGCGGGGTCCCAGGGGCCACAGGCGGGGTCCCAGGGGCCACAGGCAGGGTCCCAGGGGTCACAGGCAGGGTCCCAGGGGCCACAGCCGGGGTCCCAGCTTCCTCTGCCACTGCTGCTGCAGCGACCGCCATGGTGGACGAGGCAATCAACACGGAAACCGAACCCACAGATGCAGGGAAGAGACCAAAGACAAACTTGTTTGGTTTTCAAAAGAAGAACGATAAAGAAACTACGCCAGAAGAGGCAGCAGCTCCGTCCAAAAAGTTTTTTCACTTCGGCGGCCTTGGGGCCAAAAGGAAAAAGGGGGCTCCTGAGTCCCTGGACGACAAAACTCCAGAGAACGGTTCCAACAAGAAATTTGATGGGGGCGGCGGAGGCTCACTCAACACCGCCTACTGCAGTATTCAACACAAGTTGGGAGGTGAACTCGGGCAGGCTATACCACTCAAGGCGATGAAGGACCAGCTCAGGAAGAAGGTGCCTGAGAAAAATGCAAACGGGGTAAGAGCTCTGAGGAAAGTTTGGCTGAAGAAGAAAATAGACAACGGTAAACCCGCAACAACTGATTCTCAGTCACTCACAAACAGGCAGAGAATTCCTGCTGTCAGAATAAAACACGTGTCTAAGCCGACAGGGAACGTTGAGGTGGCAGACACAAGGTTTGGTGGCGATGACGACTCGCAGCCAACTAAGATTACTGAACTAGACGACGAAAATATTTTTGAAGAATGTAAAAATAAGAAATATGTTCAATATCTAAATCTGGTAGGTAAAGGAGAGGTTGTAGAGGAGAAGGAACCCAGACGTGACCTTCCCGACAGACCAGGCATCCATGAGGTGCCAGAAATAGTTGTTGGTGATGGGGACGAGGATATGGATGAAGAAATTGCAAATGTTTTCACAGCAGAGCAGAGTGCTGCCGCCGACACAGATGACCCCCTGAAGGGGAATGGCAGCCCCTTAGACGACGAGGAGGATTTCTGGCGGCAGTGGAGGAGCGAGGAACAGGCCATTGTGACGAGGGGCAGGGACTCTGCCTCCCCCTGGCAGCTTAACCAGGACAAAGGTGGCTGCGTCACTCACGTCCACCATGATGAAAACGAAGACATTGAAAGGAAAATAAGTAGTCAAGAAATGGGGAGGAAGTGTGACAGTGAGATGGATGCGAATGTGGAGGTGAGCGAGAAAAATTCCCTAGGTGAGCATGATGCAGGAGGTGCCAGTGGTGGGGGTGACGCCTACCTGGTGACTCACACACGCAGCACCAGTGATATCACTTTGAGCATTGACAGTGAAAAGGGTGCCAAGTCTAGAGTCAGAACTGTTGAAAACGGTGCAACTGGCACCATTGACCGAAATCCAATGCCAAGTGATAGTTTTCTCTCGGGTAAAGGAGGTGCCCCTGGAGGTGAGGAGGGACACAGTCAGGAGGCGAGTATCGCCTCCTCGTCCTCGCCACCATCATCATCATCTCAACAATGCACAACAGTCCAGCATAAAGGTATGGTAGAGCGGTAGTGTGTGGATCCTCCTGCTGGTATTTTATCATGTTTTATATCCATTATGACATTATGACTGAATACAGTACTTGTGTGTTTTATGTAGTACATGTACTGTACTGTATACACCATGACATCAATAGTTGTGTTTACGTATACAAGCACAGTAAGTTGTAACATTTGAAGGGTTATTTTCTCAGTAACGTCATTAAAAAGATAATTCATTTAATCAGAACTGAATATTTTTAACAATACTGTACATATTCCTATATGATAATAGAATGGCTATGTGCGACTTAATTCGAGTTATGAACAGATCAATATCCCTGTGACGTAGACATGATCCATAGGTTAGGTTAGCTTCACTGGTCAACCACTGTATCTCATAATGTTTCTCACTCGTAAATAAGGACATAGTGACAAGGTAACGTCACACCAGGTGTGGTGATTGGCGCCAGCTTCGAAGTGAGAATGAATCCTGATCTCTTGAACTATTCATGCATACAAAAATTCATCTGTTGGAAGTAGAAGTGATCTTATGATTCTGGCGGTAAACTCGGATTTTTTTCTTGCTTATTTCTGGTTAACACATCAGCCAACAGACCCCGTCGTGCCGCCAATTTGTTTCTGTTGTCTTTGTACGTACATAAGGAAACGTACAGGGTGTAGGGGGTAATAGACATGACGCTCCTTTATAAAATGCTTATTTCTCTTCTGGGTAAACTGGTCGGCTGATTCACTAACCAGAAAGACACGAGAAAAATGTCATGCGGGCGTATATTTGATTTATATTAATGTTATTTTCTCTTACAAAAACTCTGTATACGGTATTCCTAATTTTGTTGAAATAATAGAATAACTGTTCATGTTGGCAGCAATATCGTAAGTTATCTAGACATGAGCCAGCGAGCACAGCAGAAGCAAGTGGCTCTTGTATAATAAAGGTGCAATATCATTTTGAATATTATTGATTTTTTATCTAATTACACTTATTCTCGAGAATATCCCATTGTTTTTATCACAAAGTCTAGTTCAATCAACCAATCAGATCAGTCGTTCGGAATCCATAAAATTTTCCACAGCAACGAACTAGTGTAGTGGAGGGGGGGGGGCGGTAGATTGGAGAACTTGTTAAAGAAAACTACCTACTCTACCTCTGCCCGACTACCCTGTCAACTATCCATTTAATCTCTATTATTAATACGCCATTCTACAACAGCATGTAATACAGTTTGCACAAGATTAAAAAACGATGTTCTTAGAATTTGCTTATTGTAGGAAAAAACGCAAAACCTGTCTCCTTTCGACAACAACTTGGTGCTGTGGATGAGGTGAAAGACCTAAACGTGTTAAGGGTTCAGGATATGACCCTTAACGAACCCCCGAACTCCGTGTGTTGAATCGTAATTCAAAGAAATGAAACAGATTTTTTCTGATGTTTTGTGAGATATATATTAATTAGGACTATTTTTGTTCTTCGTATTGTTAGTGAAGTTGTGTAATCAGTCATTTCGCGAAACGACTGAAAAGTTTTAGTCATTTAGCGAAATGATTGTTTCAGTCAGGTTAGATTAGGTTGATTAGTTGGGTTAGGACCCAAACCCAAGATGAGAAAAAACCTAAATAGTGCAATTATCATCAGGTATAAAACAACCAGGTTTCATTACTCTGAATTATGGTTTCAGCATTAGGGATGCGAGGGGTCGGTAGTGGGCTTAGTAAAACCTGACCAAGTCACAGATATTGGCGTGGCCTCTCGTCTGGTGCAGCAGCTATACCATCCACAGCGGTGACGTGACGCTTATATAAGCTTAATTTAATACACTTACACCGTCTCTCAGTGAGTGGTGGGGTGGCCACCTTCCTGGCAACAAACAAAAAGGGTAAACAAATACAATATACTGACACGAGTGAATCATTTACCAACACTGTTAGTATTGTATATTGGTGGGATGTGTTAAATTGAATACACTTTGTTATTAATTGTAGACCTAATCTTTTTTTAAAACGTCTTCATTTGTAATGGTTTTCTTAATGTAACAAATATTTTAACGCTTATTGTTTTCATAGTTGATTTAACTGTGTTGGTGTATATGCATTAACAGTTGCTTATACGACTGAGCATCAATGTCTTTTCGACTGTCGGTCTTCTTACTGAACCCACATGTTTGGCTCGGTCACCGTCGTTCAACTTGGGTGACGGTGACCCCCGCCCGGGGTGGTTGACAATGAGGAGTTTGCATTTAGAGGTGAGGAGTATAAAATGTCGTAACCCCGCCACTACTAATGAGCTGTCAAACGGGATGTGTTTTGATAGTGATCCAAAGAGTATTGTTAGTACACATACAGTACAGTGTTATCTAGTTAAGATATCTTCTGAACTGAAATATAGACGAGATAATGATAAATGTTTGACCTCTGTGTTTGTTTCCCACGAATCTCAGCAAGATTAATATTCACTTTTATGTAAATGGTCATACACTGCTAACATCTGGAGGTTGAAAAGTTCCGGTTTGTTTTATCATCATCTTACTGTGCAGTGGCGAGCAGTGAGTCACATAGCTGTTTTGTTTGTGTTACAGGGTCCACCTTGACGTAAGTAACATATACAGTATGGTAGAGTTGTAGAGTCTGCAATGATGTTTCTAACAACTGTTGTTTGTGTTGCAGGGTCCGCCATGTCTGACGTGGATAGCACGGACGCCGCCGTAAGTAATAACCAACTGGACGACGACTCCCTCGAGTTTGCTGTCAACACTAACCTGCCCCTGACGGCCACCAAGGCCTCCCCTGGGGGCGCCGCCCCTTCCCTCCAAGAACTAATAGAGGCAGAACTAAGTGTCCGCTTGTTACAGCCGGACTCCCTCGAGCCCCCCGCCTCCCCCGCCCTCCACTCCCTTCTCAGCTATGACTCCATAGAGCCCGTGTCGGGGCGGCCTGGTCCCGCCCTCTCCCTAGACTCCCTCATGGGCCTCGACCCCCTGAAGGACCCTCTGGGCCAGGTCGATGTGGAGAGCGGTATAGACATCCTTTCCCCCACTAAACTTGATGACTTTAGTAACCCGGACTCTCTGGAGTCCTCCTCCGACCTATTAGGTTCACCCACCCACTGTTCCCCTGAACCCCTCGGTGAGGTGATCACTACCATAGAAAACGATGCACCACTCCTGCTGGTGGAGGACCTAGTAGACACACATACTCACCAGCGGGTCACTGTGGAGAACTCTCTCCTTATAGTGGAAGAAGAAGACCTGATTGTCACGCACGAGGAACCACAGCCCAGTTCAGCTCCTCTTCTTGACATAGAAACACGCCTTTCGCCACAGCTGGAAGCTGAATCAACTCGTGCAACGGTACAAGACAATGACGTTGAAGTTGATCTTGCAGAGATAGAGTCAGACACAGCGTTCCTGAGAATACTAAAGTCAACAGAGTTGCTAAACGTAGAAACACACTCACAGTCTGGCTCTAGATCTGAGGAACAGTCGGAGTTCTCTGAGAGCTCGGCTGATGTATATCAAACTACCACAGACTCATACACGTCCAGTGGGGCCACGACCCAGGACGATACTGCCCCGCACAACACGACTGACGAAAGTCAGGAGGCGGACCAGTGGCTTGTTGACACGCAGGAATCTGCCGATGGCAGCCTCCCAGACAGTCATGTTGTCTCGGAAGAAACGGTATCAGTTACTAAGAGCACGAGAACTACGTCTTCAATCATGAGCTCTAGCAACACGGAGGGAAGCACCTCTGACCTCATGCCCACAGATGTGTCATACTCCCCGAGTCCTCACTCCTCCCAAGACGTCAGCATCACCCCCGAGTCCTCTTCCCCTTTGCTGCCTTCATCCCCCAGTGTAGACACCCCCGGCGCCCTCTCCCCGAGTGCTACTAACAGCGTGTGTGGTGGTGTATCCTCTAACGGTGGTGATGTGGACCCTGGCCAGGTTGAGGCCAGGTGGGATGGTGATAACTCAGCCAGTGGTGTTGGTGGTGAGGAGACGTCCTCGACACCCGCCAGTGGTGGCAGTGACGAGGACACCCTTCCCGGTAGTGACTCTAACGTAAGTGTTCTTACTAACTGTTGCCTCCTCCTGCCCACGCTGCCATCTCTTCTGTTGCACTGTGAATGACTTCTTCATTTTCTCGTACACGTAGTGTACTATCAATCGCTTATATAACTTCAGGCTATACTTGCACGTCCTAGTTTTCTTCCTACCGACCCTTGACCCTTCAAACTAGTGATAGGATCAAGTGGACCTGACGTGTGAAGCGTCTGTCACTTATCCTTAGCTAGTCCTGTGCTGGCACCCCTCACTTGCTATTTCTGGAAGCTGTCACCTTGGCGATCCAGCCGATTTTATGCATGCATTAAGATACTTAAATCTTAATATCCCGCAGTCATGACGACTACCAGCACAAACCTCTAGTTAACGTTAGGCGAAGATTGCTAAAACTAGTTGAAATAAATTAACACAAGTTAACCGTAGATAATACTAAGTAGAAGTAAACACTAAGTGACGCATGCGGACAGGTAGACAAAGGTGACACTAAAGTTGCAAGGTAACGCGTCTGGAACCTTCCTGTGTTATGAGCTGACGATAGAACAGCCAAGGAGGGCTTAAATTGAGTTGAGCGCTGCATAGTGTACTTTACATACAGTATACTGCTGTATTACAACACAGGCGAGGACAACTGACGTGTGTGGTGTCGTAAGATCATCACATACACAGGTTAATTGGTTTACTATTATTATTATCTGGTGCTGGAGTGTCACCTTTAGTCTGCACGTGAACGATAATCAGTAGTAATAAGTAGTTAATACATAATAGTTTGATATTTTAGTTTATTCTTCATTATGTTTTATTTTGTTATGCTGTTTGATTTATTCAGATTTTTTTTCTTCAATTATTTGCATCATTCTGTTCACTGCTGCTTAATATACAGTAATGTAAGCAATGTGTTCCTTTATTAGACAATTATTTAATGATGATTCTGTTTTTACACACACACACACATACATACATACATACATACATACATACATACATACATACATACATACATACATACATACATGCATACATACATACGCACACACACACATACATACATACATACATACATACATACGCACACACACATACATACATACATACATACATACGCACACACATACATACATACATACATACATACGCACATACATGCACACGGTACACACACACTACATATATATTTTAGTTTATAATTATCTCGTGTATGTTTTTATTAATTTTATTTGTGGTGTATTCAATTTTTATTTATTTTTAAATTTGTCAGTATTTTATGCTATTCATATTACTTATTATGATTTAGTTATTATGTTTATGTTGCTCAAAAAAGTTAACAATTTGGTTTTCCTGTAATTTTATAACTAATTGTGATTTATTAAAACTTGTGAAGTGTATTTAACTCATGATTTTACTCTCTCTCTCTCTCTCTCTCTCTCTCTCTCTCTCTCTCTCTCTCTCTCTCTCTCGACCGAAATACAGATTGTTAAGTGTTTCTATAATCTAATACTGTAATCCATTCCTTCGAGTCGACTACTTTCTTCGCTCTAACAGCACCCTGGTGGCGCCCTAACAAAGCGCTGGGCCAATAAAGAGGCAGTTGGAGGGGTAACAAGGCCATTTAAGGTACGGGTAGGTATGGTTGTTGTTGTAGTGCTAATGACTAACTGTATGTCGTGATTACCCTCGGCGCGCCACAGATGGATGTCTCCCGCGACGATGACAAGGACTTCTGGGGAGACAAACAGGAGGACGAGGAAACCCCACGTCGTAGCTCCAAGAAGGACGAAGAGGAAGACGACGACGACGAGGAGGAAACCCCACGTGTTAGCCTCTTCTCCATGGGTGGCGATGGCGATGAGGCCCCGCGTTTTAGCTTTTTCTCCAAGGGCGACGACGACGATGATGAACGCCCCCGTCTGCCTAAATCCCTCTTTAAGGATAGCGACGAGGAGATGGAGTTCATCCGTAGTCATCTGAACCCGAGGACAGAGGTTGGTGCCTTGTGTATGAGGGGCGACGATGACCCCGAACCCCTCTCCCCGACCCCCAGGACTCCTTCACTCTACCTGGGGTCGTGTTTGCGTACCTGTCTTCTAATATTTTTGTCATATTTTAATTGACCTGGTGACTTTGGCCTGATCTCCCTCAAAATCCTACAACCTTGACCTAGTGACGTAATGACCTGACTATAGTGACCTGTTGATTTAGTGACTTGGTGAATTAGTAATTTAGTGAATAAAAAACTTGGGGTTCAAGTTATTATTTGTATTGATGATTTAATGCGACTTAAGGACTAACTTAGTTGTCTTGGTGATTGTGATCTTAACCTGGTGATTTGGTTTTGTATTGTTCTTATGAAAATTTAACCTGGTGACTTTTCTTTGACTCATCTACGCTTGCCCTTACCCCAACTTGGATCATCAGTGCTGACCCTCCAGTCCTCGGATGGGGTCACCTTGTCACCAGTATCACCCCCTAGTCTTTTGATTCGATCCCTTAAACCAACTCGAGTCTCCAGTATGACCTCCTAGTTGTATGATTCAGACATCTTGACCCAACTTGACACGCCAGTAGGACCATAATCTTAGTTACTTTGACCCTTTGCCGGTATGACCCTGACTAGTAATTTTGACTGACCGGACCCAGCATGTATAGCCTGACCTGACTACTACATCCCAGGCCGTGTTATGACCACCACCCTGACCTCTTGACTTCGCATGTTTCCAGGAGGGTCTGGACGAGGACGTGAAGGGCGCGCCAGCTACGAACGGCGTAAGAGCCACGACCACAGATAAGAAGAAGAAGAAGTCCGAAGATGGCGACAAGAAGTCCAAGAAAAAGAAGAAGAAGAAGAAGAAGGGCGAGTCAGAAAAGGAGAATAAGGTAAGGGTAGGGAGAGTAGTGGTGGGCGGGCGTCGTGTTGCTGATAATACGATAGGAGCGGCCCGGTGTGACACAGTGGCCCGGTGTGACACAGTGCCCCGGTGTGACACAGTGCCCGACCGGGCCGCTCCTGGGGGTGGCTCTGTGGTCTAGGATCTTTCAAGGGGGATCAAGAGTTTTAAGTAATCTCGCCTGTCTCGCCAGCTATCAACTAGCGGCCCAGCTGGTCATGTGATAGCGGGTTCATGGCAAATTTCAGTTGAGATTTTAGCTGCCGTGGACACCGATCATCTGTAGTCAGATCAACTGATGATAACCTCTGGTGGCTATCCTACGTAGTTCCAGGTTGTGTTAGATCATCTTCCAGTTCCAGATTGTGTTAGGTCACCTTCCACAACTTCAGGCAATTCTGGATTATCATCAAGTTTTATATGCTTAAACTTGCCCATCTGGGATCATCTTCAGTAATATTAAGTTAAGCAGAATGGTGGTGCGTCGTCAGTAGATCAACGCGAGTCAACCTGGGTCGTGCGCAAGACAGGTAGGAGGCGATGACGTCACGGAAGCACCGAGGGAGGCGGAGGGTGTCCTGGACAGCGCCTTCCTCAGTAACTCCGCAGTCGTGGTCATTTCCGGGCCTCCCCGCCCCGTCACCCACACGCTCTCCTCGTCAGATTTGACGCCGGGTCGATCTTACACTCACACCATAAACTAACTCTCCACACACACAGATTCACCATACACCACACGCACAGATTCACCATACACCACACGCACACCTCCTACATAGTGACATCACTGAGGCTGTCACTTAAGACTTTTTTATCATGAACCCCAGATAATATTACCAATGGGACAGTCATAGCTCACAAGTGTTACCCTGACACGAGACACAACACCTGGCTCATCTACCGGCGATTACAAGGACGAGGTGTGTTAGGGGTGGGGAGGGGGTCAGCCCTTCCTCAGATAGTGTCGGGGCAGCCCCACAGCAGGTGACGAGGCCAACCCACCTGCAGATAGTGGAGTGGCAGCCCCAAATTGGAACGTGACATAGCCTCCCCCACAATAGAAGTGAACGAGGCCTCAACCCTACATCAAGCGTCGACGACAAGAGTTAGATACCCCCAACTCCGTAGTTAACCTTCTGGGCGACCATGTGTGGAAGATGGTGAGGTCAGGACGTTTCGTGGTGGAGGAGCTGGACGTGTACTCCTGGCTCACCTCTCAACCCTCCGAACCGCCGCTCTGGGCACGACGCCGATCACATTACACCCACATAGAGAGGTACGACCCGGGGTAAACAAACCCTCCCTCCCCCCTGTGACCGGAGCACGTGTCACCACTCCGAGTTTTGGTGAACCAGTGTTGCTGAAGCCTCATCACTTGTATTGGTGAACCGGTGTTATTGAACCTTACTTTGTCCTTGCTTTGCTGAACCAGGATTGTTGAACCTTGTTTTGGATTAATGAACTATGTTGTTGAATTTTTGTATTGAACCTGTGTTGTGGAACCTCATTCTTTTTTTGGTGAACCAGTGTTGTTGGTTTCTTGTGTTGGTGAACCAGTGTTGTTGGTTTCTTGTGTTGGTGAACCAGTGTTGTTGGTTTCTTGTGTTGGTGAACCAGTGTAGTTGGTTTCTTGTGTTGGTGAACCAGTGTTGTTGGTTTCTTGTGTTGGTGAACCAGTGTTGTTGGTTTCTTGTGTTGGTGAACCAGTGTTGTTGGTTTCTTGTGTTGGTGAACCAGTGTTGTTGGTTTCTTGTGTTGGTGAACCAGTGTTGTTGGTTTCTTGTGTTGGTGAACCAGTGTTGTTGGTTTCTTGTGTTGGTGAACCAGTGTTGTTGGTTTCTTGTGTTGGTGAACCAGTGTTGTTGGTTTCTTGCGTTGGTGAACCAGTGTTGTTGGTTTCTTGCGTTGGTGAACCAGTGTTGTTGAACCTCAGTCCTATTTTGTGGACCAATGCTCTTTAACTTTGCCCCTTCTGTTGGGGAACCGACATCTTGCTGAATCAGCCGCTTGTTTATATGGTGAACATGCCATTGTATGTTAGTAGAGTGTAATGGTGACTTGGGCCAGGTCACCATTTGTATTGGTGACATTAGTTTTCGTGGTTCATTTACTTCTGCTGTTGGTGAACCCTTTTCCTAGGTTGGTGATTTTACCGCATTTGCTTGGTGAACCCGACAGTGTTGGTGATTATTTTTGGGCAGGGATTTTAATGGCGAATCTTTTATTTGTAATGGTGAACTCATGACTTGTGTTAAACCTTCCACTTGTGTTGGTGAACCTACCACTAGTGTTGGTGAACTTACCACTTGTGTTGGTGAACCTACCACTATTGTTGGTGAACTTACCACTTGTGTTGGTGAGCCTACCCCTGTGTTGGTGAACTTGCCACTTGTATGAACCCACCCATTATATATTGGTGATCTATCACTTGTATTGGTGAGCCTGCTGAATATCCTGTCACGCCCATTGGTGAAATGACCTCCTGTTGAATGCACCATTTTTGTCTAGAACCCGCTAAGGGCAGTCTTGAGCTTTCTGTGTATGTTGGTGAGGTGGCAGCAACCTCCTGGTGAACTGATGTTGGATTGGTGATCACTGCTGAGTTAGTCATAGGTTTACATAATGCCTTACAGATTTTCGTGGAGATCGCGTGAATGGTTGTATTACAACGGCAGCATTACCCTCACTTGTAGGAAACCTCACACATTCACTCGATCTCCACGAAAAGCTGTAAGGCTGTGTGTGTGTGTAGTTCCTGTGTGCAATAGTGAGTCACGTGTGTTCACCTCTGGGTCGTATCTCCCTGCGACACGACAGCACCATCGACGCTAATGAGAGGAAGAGATTGAAGGATAAGTACAAGAAGAGACAAAAGGAACGAGAGGAAGAAGAAAAGAGGAAAAAGAAGGAAGTGGAGGAACGTAAGCGAAAGCAGGAAGAGGAGTGGAGAAATCTCGTAGAAGAGTGGAGGAAGGAAGAGGAAGAGAGGAGGAAGAAGGAGGAGGAGGAGGGTAGTTCCAAGTCGGAGTTGTCCCAGGGAGCGGTCTACGAGTGGGCTGACGGGCGACTCACCATCACCTTCCTCAATCCTCCGCAGGTCAGTTTGGTGTGGTGCTGGGGGCCCCTTATGTCCGCTGCCCCCACACGCCCCTGGACGGCCGGGCATGGATGTGCTGGTGACGTTTGTGTGATGTTAGTGTCTTATAACCCGTGTTTGATACTCACATACTCTATGTTTATAAAGGCGTGATTTAATTTGGATGATTAAATGATGTGTTATTTTGGTTATTTTCATTTGGTTTTCCTGTTTTAATTTTTTTTGGTTATTGGTGTTTGAATTTATTTTTATTAGGCGTGTTTAAATAATTTTGCTTGTTTTCTTAACTGCATGTGTGTGTCACGGAGACCTCAGGGACTTTCAAAGGTATTTTATTTACGTTTCCTCAATTTGTTTATTTGTTTGCATGTCTCCTCGTATAATGTTTAAATTATAAAATGTTCCTCGCATGATGTGGTATTAGCGGGTGCTCCTGTGCATGACACGCTTCAGACACTACATGATAAAAATTGGCATTGTACAGGAGTTAGGCACTGTGCATGAGACACCGGATATAAATTGTTACTGTGCATAAGACGTAGGACGGAGAACACGTGGGCTCTGAGTCTACCTCGCTTGTCTATCAGTTTCTTGGCACCTTCCATTACCATTATTCTTTGTGGGAGGGCGTACATTATGTGGCACTCTGCCAAATGTAAGGAGCAACCCTAACCCGGTATGGTATTTACTTGTGCCGTCTAGGAAGTACTCTATTTCTGCTGCCTCGTGTCTGGCACGTTGTTCTTGGTTTTTGCGGACACCATTTTTCTTGGGTGGTTGTGTCTCCGGGGCTGTGTGTGGGTGTGTGTGTTGGGTTAGGGTAGGTTTGGTTTGGCATCCTGAATGGGTGTCTGTCTGGTATTCTACAAACAGGAGTGTCAATAATGTTTGGGAAGTTGTTTTATACAGGTGATTGTATGTTTGTACTTATCTGGAGCTCTGAGAAAGTTGGGTCTGAATCCATGGGGTGGTGAGTTTGATTAGGTAAGGTATGATTAGGTTAAGTTTGATAGGATTAGGGTAGGTTAATCGTGGTTAGATTTAGTTAGGTAAGGTAAGATTAGGTGAGATAAAGTAGTGCACTTGACAACCTCGTATAGTTCATCCTTCAAATGTTCTCGTCGAGTAGAAAAATAATAGTTGGCCCTCAAACATATCACGGTGGAGGGGGAGGGGAGGGAGAAGGGGAGGTGAGGGAGAAGGGGAGGGTGGGCAGGTTGTGTATGACAGGGATTGACTATGACTCAAGCTTGTGATTGTGATAGATGAAAGGGGGACTGGGGGAGTGGAGGAGGGATGGGGAGGGACTGTGATAGATGAAGAGAGTGGATGAGGGAGGGGGAGTGACTTTGAGAGAGATGAAGAAGAAGGGGGAGTGGAGGAGGGATGGGGAGTCACTGTGAGAGAGATGAAGGAAGAGGAATAACTTATGAGGGAGGGAAGGAGGGAGAGAAAGACTGAAAGAAATGTGGGTGGGGGGATGATCATGTTAACCTCACCACCAAGGCCCAGGTACTGTACATCAGGTCACACTATCTCACCCAGTGACAGGTAGATGACGCTAATTAGTTGTCCGATGAGAGAGGCTGTACTGGTCGACCTCTCTCTCTCTCTCTCTCTCTCTCTCAAAACGTCATCAAAATTGCACTAAGACACTACCTAAATTCAACAGGTCTTCTTCACACCTTTTTAGGGAGTTACAGAGGTTGTGGATGTGTTAAGTGAGGTAAGATGGAAAGGTGAAGTGTGAGAGGGGAGGGGGAGCATGGGATTGTGTTTTATATAGGTTAAGGACTAAGTGTTAATAGTGGAGCAATACTGTATGGGTGTAAGGTTAGTGGAGGAACAGTGTGTAACGGGGGGTAGTGTATGGGTGTAAGGTAGTGGAGGAA